AATATTGTTCAACGTCAGCTTGTACAATATATTTCAATAAATTAAGAATAACATTAATGGCCCATTTATTGTTTTTTTTTTAAATTTTTTTATTTACGTAAAATATTCTTGAGTATGATACATTATATCCTAAGCATTTGGGCGGGTTTACGGAGGATAACTTCGTGCTAGTTAACTCGTTTCCCGTCACCTCTTCTCTAGTGTGAAGATGAGAGAGAATTCTTTCCTACGCGGACGTAAAGCTGAATGAAAAGGGAACATCGCACAATGGGCAGTTTTCCCGATCTGGCACACCAAAACCCTAAAAATTAAACTGCGCAAAAAAAAAAAACCACCCCCCAATTTATGGTTTTTATAGGCTCCCTAGCCGTGTTGTGATCAGTTTTCGTCAGTACGCGATTGGAAATCTCCAATAGTCGACGGTTTAGATCGGGTTTGTTGGGGCTTCGAGGAACACCTGTCAGCCTCATTTTCTAGTTGGAAGTTCTATCGTTTCTAGTTGGAAGTTCGTCTGAACAAGATTTTGTAGCTTTTGGCATTTTTCTTTGAAAATACATGTTATAGGTAAAAAATTTCTTTATTTAACTCTCAAATTTGATTCAAAATTGTAAAATCGTAACATTTATCACAATACGTAATTCCCACAAACGCATGTCGTTTTTTTTTTGTGTTTAATGGACTAGAACTTTTGGTATTAACACGGATTGTGATGATTGTAACTCTTAAGCCACATAGGGCAGATATGGACCTTTAATTTAATACCAAATTTAGCTGCTACTTCCTGCAACCCCTAAAGTTATGATTTTTTTTCAGTGTATTGCCATTGGTATTTTTGCGACGCTTGTTTCGCCTTCTTATTTCTCTCCGTAAAAGGGCACTTCCAAGATTTAGTCGGCTGATCTTAAACCTCTGTTCTCAGAGGCTGTTTTCTCGGCTGACATAGACATTCATAACTACCTTTTTAACTTCTCATACCTCATACACACAACAACGCAAACAAACCAAAGGCCCCAGCAATATAATTTATTCTCAAGGTTGCAATCCTAATTTTTAATTATTAAAATTAATTTTCAAATTTTTTCATCTCTATTTTTATTACCTCAAATCTAACGTGGCGAATCAATCAGTAAAGTCAACAACCAATTTTGAAGATAGGGGATAAAGACCTCTTATGAGATCATGTGCCCCAATGAACTTTCTACGTTCCGTAAAAGGGCGCGTCAACATGAGTCCAGCGAATACAATGCTAGTGACTCGGAATCATGCAGTTCAAGTTATTTAATTTACTTGTTTATCTGCAGAGGTAAATCTCGCGACAAGCTTTTATATCATATAAATTGTGTAATGACGTTATAAATTGATAGTAAAAAAAGTTTTAAAGAAAAATTTATTTTATTCTTTTTAGCGCATTTAAATAAAAGCTTGCTTTAAAAAAGTTTTTTTACTTTTAATTTATTTTTCACTTTTTAGTTATCACTGGACAGGTTTCTCAGTCTGTTCATCTCATTCAATGCATCATTGTTGCTAGGTGTTTGCCAGATATTTTCGAACAGTCTAGCTAAATGAATTCTCGCAAAAAGGGTACTAGACGAAAAACACAACTTTTCCTTAAATTCGTAATTTTTAAGCAATTTTTTCAATCTTCGTACAGATCTTGTGTAATATTGTCCTACACACGAAAAAAAGTTTTATGAGATTTTCTTCGAAAATGACAAAGTTATTAAATGTTTAATTAAAATTTTGAGTATTTTTTGAAAAATCGTAAAAAAAAAATTTCTGCAATTTATTTTTTAAATGACTGATTCTAAAAAATCAAAGCATGAGCTGTTTTAGTACGAAATGTCGATTCATTTAAACAAAAAAAAAATTCATGCGCAACAATTTAGACATTTTCATAAAAGCGCATCGATTTTGACTTATTTAAAAAAATCGTAAGAAATACAAATATTATTATTTTGTAAAAAAACATTATACCGAATCGGGACGAAATAAATGATCTTTCCGATTCTGTAATTATTTTTTGTCTGAGTTTCATAGATTAAAGTTAGATAAATTTTTGAAGAATTTCTACAATGCTCCATCTCAGTTTAACTTGGCAGCGTTGAGAAAAGTATACAATGTACCAATCTACTTGAAAAATAGCTCTACTTTTTTTGTTTTGAATTTAAATCCAAGAAAATAGATAGAAATTTGTAAAAAAAATTGCATACGTTGTAGAAATTAGATTATTTTTACGTTGTAGAAATGTAATTATTTTTTAGACAAAGTTAATTAATACAGTTAATAGCGCAACGTTATGAAATTCCAGTTTGGCTGAAAACCGATTTTCGACATCAACTTTTGTCGTTGTTGTAACAATAACATTATTACACGACAATGCAGATATATCGAAGTTGGCGCCCAAAACTAGTGTAACGTTTTTAATTAATATCTATTAATTAATTGCAATATCGGAATATAAATGGTCAAAACATGCATTGTCATCCAAACTAAACTTGTATATAAAATTTCAGCTCAATGCGATGAAGATATCAGCTTCAAAATTGAGTTGCAAGATTCCACCCGAACAAATTACATACATACATTCTAAGCTAAATAAAAGCTTTTAAAAATTACATGCAGCTCTTATTTCTCGTATGGGAGAACGTCACACAGATCTAAGTGGTTTACTGCAATACTCACACGGTGGTATAAGCGGCGTCTCAGAAATAGATTTTGTCATAGTTCCTTCTTCAATTAAATGCGTGAATTAATAGTGGTGTAGAAATTCGTAAATATTTGAATATCAGATTTCAAATGATCTTTTTCAATTAGTAATAATGGATTAAAAAAAGCTCTTACCAGTCAGAATGAAGAGGCGACTCAAAATAAAATACAGCGGAAGGTTTGACGAACACGTTTATTAAGACAAAGACAAACTAAAGCGAACATTCGTAAACAAGCGATTGCAGCGCCGCTGCACTTAATATTTCAACGCATTTCACTCTTAAGGTTTCAGCAAGTGGACCTACTTGAAAGATTTGACGCTTCGAATCAAACTGCATAAATAAAAGCTCATGCACAACTGGATCTTCTATTTCAAATGAGGTAACACTTGAAATTGACTCAAGTTCTGATTCAACAATTGAATCAATTTGTACACAAAAACCATTAAGTGTAGCAGAAGAACTAGATAAAGTTATCAAAGAGAGATATGTGCACCTATGCAGCTTATTAGATTTGAGACACTGTCCTCAAAAATTCAAAAAGAAATGGCTCTTTTTGAAAATGGAGGGAGACTACCTGGAAAGAACATATTCCTATTTTAACGACCATTCAGAGTACTAGTGTAGAGTCTGAAAAAGCATTTTCTTCGGCAGGTCAATTTGTAACAAAAATAAGAAGCCGTTTGACCGATGAAACTCTAAACGAGCAGTGTTTTTTGAAAGCTTATTTACAGAAACAAAAGTGGCCGCGGTAGCCAAGTGGTCTAGGCATCGGATCGTGGCTAGCGAGTCATGAGTTCGATCCCAGTACCACTGAAGACCCGCCGTGTAGGGAAGTGATGCACGTTAAATCTGTCGAGAGCTCAAATGTCCTCCCGTTGGTGTGGTGTGGTAGTTAGGAGAGAGGTGTGCCAGCTCAGGTGTCGTCCGCGTCACTTGACCATGGTTCAAAATTACGCTGGCCGTCCCGAAAAGCCCTCGTGTAGCTGAACAGTGGGACGTTAATATTCACTCACTCACTTACAGAAACCAAAAGTAAGTTTAATTAAATTTTCTTAATTTCTCATTTCTAAAATTTAAAGTTCTCTTAATTTCATTATGTACTATTTTTATTTGTTTTTAAGATGAATTAAGTTTTGTTTTTATTTGTTTCAATAAATAATATTATTAACCCAATTTTTTAATTATGTTTTCAGTTTTATTACGTAATTTCAACTATGCTAATGTGTAAGTATTTTTCATAAATAGTCCAATCCTAATTCCGGGACCAATCCCGGGATTTGGATAATGTAATCACGTAATCCCAGGATTGAAAACATAACACGGAATTGAAAAACCTATTTTTCAGTGAATTTAGTGTACGTGTGAAAGGAATTCTCTTACCTTTTTACATTACTTTTACCTTACAACTTACTAAGAGTTGTATCAAGAATCGAGAGTTGACTGGTACAAAGTTACCTTGTGTGAAATCGTTTATACATAAACACATTGAAAACAAAACTATAAAGTCATTAAAATAAAATATATATCGCTCTTCTCTTATCTTCCCAAAAGTTTTCTCTCTCTCACTCTCTCCATCCTCTGTTTATTTTAAAACTTCACCATACGATAAGGCTTAAAAACACGAGTAATACATTTTAAACTACTTTTGTAAATACAACATGAACATATACACCATAGGTGTAAAAAATCATAAAATTTTCTAAGCGAAAAACTGATGACGCGCCACAATATCATAATTCTTAAAAAAAAAATACTCGGCTGATATTTAAAAAGGTGAAAATTTAATAAACATTGTTTGCATTTATTTCAACAGTAACAAACTGTAATAAAATTATACGTGTAATAAAAAAATATGACCGTCTTTTATATTCGAATAAAAAAAAAGTAACACGCACAAAAAAGATTATTTCAAAATAATAACGTAATGAAATATTCCTTTCAAACCTTCAAAAACATTTTTATAAAATTTGCTAAATAGAGCCTGTACTGCATTTCTTAAAAAAATTATTACAACAACTTGAATACAGCGATTTTTTTTGCGAATTTCTTTTTCTAACCTGTATACATTTATATATATATATCTTATTCAAATTTTCAATCTTTAACAAAATACTTTCTATTCATCCACATTCAAGTTCAAATAGATTTTTTTAAACTTGTGGTGGATGACACTTGGTGTCAATACAGCTTTTTAAAATATCAATTCATTAATTAAATTTAAGAAATGAATAAATAGTAACAAACAAAAATATTAGTCCAACAGCATATATAGAAAGGAAAATCGTTCGTTGCGTCCCTGTAGCGCAATGGATAGCGCGTCGGACTTCTAATCCAAAGGTCGTGGGTTTGAATCCCACCAGGGATGGCATAATTTCTGAGAATGTTATTTCTTTTTTAACAAAGCTATTTTATTATATAATTAAGTTTAATTAATGAATAAATAGTAACAAACAAACAAAAAAGTAGTCCAATACCACATATAGAAAGGAATGAGTGAGTGAATATTTTCGTCGCACTGTTCAGCTACACGAGGGCTTTTGGCGACGGTCCGTGTAATTTTGAACCATGGTCAAGTGACGCAGACGACATCTGAGCTGGCACCCCCCCCTCTCTCCTAACTACCACACCACACTAACGGGAGGACGTTTGAGCTCTCGACAGGTTTAACGTGCATCGCTCCCCTACACGGCGAGTCTTCAGTGGTACTGGGATCGAACTCATGACACGCTAGCCATGATCCGATGCCTAGATCACTTGGCTACCGCGGCCACATATAGAAAGGAAAATTGTAAAAAATGTCGCTTTCTATTTTGTCAATATTGTGATCTGTCATATGTATATACATATTTATATTAGTTGTAACTATATTTTATAAAAAGTAACTAAAATAAAATTTTTCTTTTTGTTGACCTAAGTAGGAATTGACTTAAAAAATATTTTTTTATGTTACTTGTTCAGATAAGGGGAATACGAAGCCTGAAGAGTTAAGCCCACAAAACTTTTGATTCCATCTTTCAGCGTGTATTGAAAAAGAAAAAAAATATTGCATATGCAAATCATGTAATGACGTCAGATGCAGAGTAAGTACGTATTAATGCTAAGATTTTCGCTACTCAGAAAAGAACAGCTGTTCAGCCTAAATAAGCCCGTAGGAAGGTGCAACAAAATTTTACGTCCATGTATTATTACTCATTTAGACAAGCATTTTATCAGTTTTCTCACATGTAATTAAATAAAGTGAAAAAAAGGACAGTCTAGGTTAATATAAGCCTTTTCCTCACGTGGGTAAAAGAAGTTATTTAACATTAGGTGAGCAGGAACTATTGATCAACTTAAAAAAAGTCACACTGATTGAAGTAGATGGAAAGCGCCGATTTTAAATTAGTGGGATAAAATACCCGTAAACTTATTTTACAAACTATTCATTGGCTGAATGGCAACCCGATTGCATCATCACTGGCGTAGCTAGTCTTAAGTGGACCCTGGATCAAAATTTTAGGAACGCCATTTTTAAGGCCCCTTAACATTTTACGATTTTATTGCTTATATATGTTGCCCCCCCCCCTCTAGCTTGGAACCCCGTATCATTGGTACGGCTGATAAGGCGGTAGCTACGCCCCTGTGCATCATTTAATCATAAATCATGGTGATTCAATGAAGTACTGAAGCGGATTTTCCTTAATTCCATTTGTGACTTAAGATGTCATATTATATAACGTGGAGAACCAGAGTTCGCGTTAGAGTGAGGGGCAACTGAATGAAGAGACATATTGAAAAATCAACACATTTTATATATGTTGATTCAAAATCTAATAACCAGCTAATGGGAGCGAATTGGATCTAATTAATATTTATAGATATCATCTGAATAAATGAAGTCTGGCACACAGATGCACTGGATAAGAAAACTCGAAAAGATCTTGACATTAAAAAAAAAAGCTACAGGTTATGTGTCAAAATACGTTGAGGTTCAAAAAGTTTATCACAAAATATATAATTTCAAAAAGTAACAATATCCGAGATTCACAAATAATTCCCTCTACGAACTCGTTTAACTTTAAATAGTGAGACTAATTTGAATGCGTCAAGGTTCGTTCAAAAAAAGAGGTTCTTAAGGAAAAAGAATTCATTAAAATAATTTCCATGTGAGGATTAGTTGGAACACACAAAGAGTACGCGCTGCAATTTGAATGAAAGAAAAGTTTTTATGGTCGGAGAGAGACTACTTAGCATGCAGTAAGCTTTTAATTTTGCACTTGTACACCATTTTCATTGCACCAAAAATAATTTTCATTACTTTTGTGTTAGATCACCAATAAAAAGTTTATGGCCTTAAAATTATCTTGGTGACTGTAATTTCAGCGTTTGACTGATTGATTGTACATTGATGTCGTACACAGAAGCTACACAAACGGTTCTTGTAATTCCTAAGCATGGCCAAGTGACGACAACGACACCAGACCTGGCACTGACACCCCAAACGTCATCACCATACCAGCAAGAGAAATTTAGCGTTAATCAGCCACTTTACAGGGCGGGCCTTTAGTGGCACCATTCTAAAACTAGATAGAGACACCTACTGGAAAAGGGCAACTGGCCACTAATTGCGTTATTTTGACCCTCGGTCGAGTGACGAGGACGACACGAGCTGGCTTCAAATCTTCAAACTTCCACCCCAAGCCACCAACGTGAAACCTTTTGAGCTTCGACAAATTTTTCGTGTATCAGCGCCTCTATACGATAATACTTTGACATCAGGATACGAACTCACGACGGTGGCCATGAGTTCGCGGTCATAGCCACTCCATTACCGCGGCCATTATCCAAGCATGAAAGACTTTTAAAACGATAAAAGATAAAAATAATAAATTATAATTTTAAAAAAAACTAAAAAATACCCTTTTATAGTGCATCGAACTAAGTTTTAACTTAATCTTTTATTCGCCAATTCTGAAATGGAATCTGAAATTAATCGTCAGATGCGGGGTGGGATCTGAAAATGGGAAATCGTTAATCCTGATCAGGACAATGGAACAAAATTATTAAATTATAGTATTGTCATGGGTCCTGGACAAGTACGCAAAATTTCGAATTAATCTGACCTTTTAATGTGGGTAAAAATTGAGTTCAAAGATTCCGTTACATACAAGTGAAGCTTATAAAAGGGTGTTAATATTAAGGATTTTTTTTATACTATTACTTTCTACATAATAACTTTTCTTAGTACTTTTATCATGAAACATTATGCGCATTTATAGTAGATAAAAAAAAAGATACTGAACTATGAATAAAACTTTATAAAATCTTCCTATTTTCTCTTAAATAAAGCAAAGACGGTCTTATATATATTATTAAAGACGACACAATACATTTTAATAACATAAAATATGCACACCAAATTATATTTTTCAACTCATTATATACGTTAATTATTTTAGACAGTTGCTAACATTTAGCAAAATTAGTTTCTCCGACGAAATAAGAAAACACAGAAGGGGGGGGGGGACGCTAATTGGAAAGGCAAATTATTTTAAATAATAATAAATTATTCCAGCTGTTCTTTCGCATCAAATAAACAGTACTTGACAGAATTTTCCATAATTTATTTCAGAATACATTCTTTATAATTATCACTAATGAAAAAGAGAAATGAACGCTTTTGATTAAGATTCAGAAGAAAAGATGTAGTTTTACAAATTAAGAGTTTGAAGCAGACGCTAACTGCTTGAAGTTATTTTTTCCTTTCTTTATTTTTCGAAAAACTGCTATCTTGTTCCGAATTGTAACAACAAAAAATTTATTACTAAGGTGCAATCTCTTTTTATACTATCGTAAAACAAGATAAGGATAATTAAATATCAAGGACCAGGGAAAAAAATAAAATCGAGAACAAACTCTGTTTTTTTTTTTTTTTTTAAATATTTATTCAATTGCAAATAATAATGCTTTTTAAGATAAAAGGTGCAAAGCAGAAACAAAGTTAATATTTTATTTAAATAGATGAATTAACAGAAATCTAACAAGAAAAGAACTTCATTAAAAACATGATAATGTATTCTTGCATGTGATTTCTAGGAACAATTAACATACCAGGGGAAAACACAAAACATACACATTAGTTCATAATGCATATCAGAAATAAAAAAAAAGCATATATGTCCTCATAATTTTAAGAATTATCAATGGATGAGTGAGTGAGTGAATAAAAACGTCGCTGTTCAGCTACTCGAGGGCTTTTTGTGGATAGGTGAGTGAGTGATAGTTTTGAGTGATCCGTGACCTTGACCCCTAGGCTACCACGGCTACTAATCATCAATGAAAGAATTGTATTTATTCACTACAAATGCTTTAAAGGCATAATCTTCAATGAGTGAATTTTTTATTAACGTCAAACAATAAAGAACACACAGACTATTGACGACGGATCTCATATTGCTTTACCATGGTCAAATGACGAGGACGCGACACCAGAGCTGTGGCATCCCCTCCTTCTACAAATAACCACACCGCACCAACGGGAAGACTTTGAGTGATGGCGGATTTAACTTGCATCATCAGCCCCTCTACACGGCGAGTCTTCAGTGTCACTTGGGCTCGAACTCATGACACCCTGGCGACGAGTTCATAACCATGTCCACTATGCCACTGCAGCTACAGATATAATACTCAAGGCTATTTTAAGAAACATCGCATCAAAGTCGGTTCTAGTTTTAACAATTCATAATATTTAGTACAGAGGATCACTTATATAAAAGTATTCAAGTAAAAAACTCATATATAATATGCGTAAATCTCAAGAATGAATTAATTTTAATTATAACTTAGAAATACCCGATATTTCATTCTGCATATATTAACCCGACACTTCATGCGCAGGGTATGTCATACCCACCACCTAGCTTTTTTCAACATTCCGTTTAAACTTTTTTTGGAAAATAAATAGTTTCTCGTCTAACTGACTTCAAGGTCATATCCTTTGATGGGCTTTAGCTTGTAAACGAATTCTAAATATATATTTTTGGATACCCCCTTTTCGGGTATGTCATACCCTGAGCGTGAATCGCAGTTACAGTTCTAAATGCATGAGCACGCTTTAAAATCTTTCTTATGCAATGGCGTATTACTGTAGCTATGATGAAGAAATATGATATTTAAGTAATTTAATAGATACAGTACAACAGTATTTTTTTCGGATGAAGTAAGTCTCTTTGAGGGGATGATGAGGAAGAATCGAATGATGAAGAGTATAATAGCAAGTATAATTCCTCTACTGAAATCTATTCAGATAATTCAACTGAAGGTAAAATTATCGTCCTTGATAAAATGTAATCTTTAGATTATGACAATATTTTCTGTGTTGTTGAA